GTTGTGAATTCATAATCTTCCCTGCCAAGTGTTCAGTGGAATCGTGTCCTACATTCTGGAGCAGCTTCTGCAATTCTTTGCTTCACGAGGAATGTGCAAGCTCAGATAATGGTGTTTTCTGGCTTCAGTGATATCACAGTGAGTGGACCAGGGTGATAGTCAAAGCAGCACTCCTTTCTTAAACTCTAAAATTCTAATAACTCAATAATATAGGGAATTACCTCATCTCTACCGCCTACAGTACATGCCATTGTGCTGAGTGATTTGGATATAATAATTCATTTAATCTTCACAGCGGACCAATTAGGTAGGTGTTATTTTCCAGTTTTAAAGATGGAAAAAAACAGACCTGATAAGGTTAAACAACTTGTTAAAGGTCACACAGCTTTTAAAACTCTGACTTTGACAGTGGCCTCCTGCAACTATACCACCGATTTCTTTAAGCTCCTGTGCCTTGTAAAGGCTCATGGGAATAATTATGGGAAACACAAAAGGATAAGACAAATAATTCAATGAGGGTCATTTACTGTTGATGTTTTGGAATACTTTCCTTCCTTTCAGTAGTTTTGTTTGTTTGGTTTTTGGCGGGGGATGGGGGAGGTAACTGGATTTTTTTTTTTTTAACTACAATACTGAGGATGGAACCGAAGACCTCATGTATGCTGGACATGCACTCTACCACTGAGCTGTACCCTCCACTTCACCTTTCAGTATTTTTGTTATGTATATACGATGGTTGAATTTGGTTGTGCCTTTTTTAATATTAGGTTAAATTAGACTTCCCTAAACTGTGTTCTGTGAGCTATTAATAGGTTAATATTACCATTTTAAATGCTCTGATAGGCCTAGAGAAAACCTGCTTAAACTTTGTTTAATTATGAATATAAGTGTAAATATAAGAAGTACTGGTCAAGAGCACAATTTAGTCTCCAATTTTTTCCCCTCAAGTATTTTTCTAATCATAACACTGTTCTGATACAGAAACTACCATTACAGTTCTCTTCTAACTCCAATTGGCTGAAATCCTAGTGTCCTTCCTCACTGTATCATACTGTCTGCTTACGTAGTAGCACTATGATCTCATTCTGAGGTCCTTCCCCAAAGCCTCACTCTTTCGTCCTTATTCAGGTGGATTACACTTATGCATATGTCCTGTAGGATCATCGGTTGCAACTCTTTCTCTCTTTATAATCTTATAATGCTGGATGAACTTTGCATTGATTTCTTCGTGTCACACAAGCTGATCTGATCATAAAAACTGACCCCCTTCATCTAGGTCCCTTGATCACTAATTTCCTCTTCTGACTCACAGCATCCTTACCTATCGGCTCCACCTTCTCCTCAACCAGACCCACACTCAGCCTTCTTCCACCTCTAGCAGCTGACATTTTAACTCCGCCCCAAAGTCCTGCCTGTTGGCCTGGTTTGCTGAGGGCAGAAACATGACTCTGACCTGCTCAGCCCAGTTCTGCTCTGGCTTGTCCTGTTCCTGAGCACAGAGGAAGCCCCAAGGGAGCTATCCTGCCATAGTAGCAGCTGCCATCTCCTGTCTACAAATTACAAAATTCTCTTACCATCTTTTGTTTAAACTATCAAATTCATCAGGACTCAGTGTATCCTGTGCTGGTTTCCCTTCAGCTAAATACAGCTCCTTTGTCTCAGAACACAAGACTCTTTTCTTCTTGCTGTAAGATTCAAGGACAATGATTTTAAAAGGCCATATGTCCTCCAATAATAGGTCACTTTTCAGGTTTCCTGATTGAAGAGGAATCTGAAGTGTGAATATTTGTAATTTGATAAAGACTCAGTGTTACTATAAACAATTTCATGTGGCATTCTGCCCATACATTGCTTCACAATGAAAGGAGGACCATTTATTTTCTTTGTTGACATGTAACTAATGTTCAAACGCAATGTGAGTTCAAAATCTAAATATATCACAGACGATTACAGTTTGACACTTGAACACCAGCCAGGCAAGTCCTAACTCAGAGAAGAGTGACTAACAGGTTTTCCTGGCAAGAGCACAGGAATCCATCCCCATGGCCAAAGGCAGCAGGATCAGCAACAGCATGCTGAAACTAGAGAGGAGAGGACTTGAGCTCACTGGAAGCATCAGAGTTTCTCTTCCAGATAAGACAAAGACAAGCCTGGAAAAGGTAACCAGAAGAAACTTCTACTATGGAGATATTGTGAAACAAAAGCATGATAAGAACTTTACGAATTCTGAAATGCCTTGACAGAGTAAGTTACTCAGCAAAGAGTAGAAATGTGGTTAGTAAGTCATTCTTCAAAATGGGATGACTAGCCCTTTAAGAATATATTCAGTCTATTAAATATGGCTTTAATATTTCCACTATAGGCAAAAGTTTATTCTTCAAAAAGAGCAGTGACCTTAAAGATCCCAGCTGAATATCCTTACTGGGTTCATCTGTCTGTGCCAGTAAGTGGAGCTGGTGAAATCTTTTTTTATTCCTATACTAGTAGCACATGTTGTGAGCAGTCAGGAAGGAACAGCATACTTATCTTTGGCAGGTCAATCTTAGCCCTAAATGAGAAGAGATCCAGGTGCCCAGGAAGGTTCCACCACACTAAAAGACCTCTTCCACTCATTCAGAACGTCAGTGGAGTGACTAAAATGCCTCCACTGGGGCTCCTCTCTGTTCTTAGCGATTTTTCTCTAGAAGTAAAATCCCCTTCCAAAGTGGAGGGGACACAGTGACAATCTGGCATCTCCATGTAAATGAACAGAAAGTATAACCACGTGGTCGAGAGGAAGTTCATGAATGAGCTTCTCTCTCTCTCTCTTTCTCTCTCTCACTCTCTCTGTCTCTCTCTCAGACACACACACACACACACACACACACACACACACACACACACCCCACTCAGCTTTTACTTTCAGATTCCATAGGTGAGTGTCTTTCTCTAGAATTTTCAGTGAAATTTCCTAAAGCACTGCAATATTTGGCACTTGTGAGGCAAGGCTGGCCACTTGCCCTGCCTCTGTGAGGAGTAGCTATCTTGACTGAAGTTGTGGTTGCTGATAGCAGAGCCATCCTATTGGAACTACAAGAGGGAACACAGGGTAATGAAGCAGTAATAATTACAACTGTGATAATGGTACCAGAAAAGACAAAGACAAACAGAAATAAAAGTCCAGAAATACACCCAAGTATTAGAATTCAGTAAATGATACATGGCATTTCAAACTAGTGAGAGAGAGTGATGATGTTGGGACATTAGCTTACCATTTGGGAAAAAAATTTTAGATTCCTATCTCAAATTCTGCAAGAATATATTTCTGATAAATCAAATACTTAAAATCTACAAATTAAATTTCAAAAATAAAAACATACAACTAACAGAAAATAAAAGTAAATATATACATATACATATATATTTATATAAACACACACACATAGTGAACTTCTGCAAACATAGCAACAAACACAAAAACAGTAAAAGCAAAGAAAGAAAAATGAATGCAAAAAAGACCATAAACAAAATGAAAAGCAGTACGTAAAAGGTCAGAAAAATCACCCAAAATTTGGAGATAGGACAAAAAGATTAATGGTTGCTCTTTCAATATCAGACTGAAACATCTAAAAAGCCTACCTGAGGATCCTGTGATTCTGGAGGATAACGTCACTTTGTTTGACTTGCTATTTTCTATCAATTAGGGCCCAGACTTCATCAAATTAGATGTTAACTTATAGAAGATTGACAAGTCTCAAACGGTGTTTGTTTGGGAGATGCAAATAATTTCTACCTGGTAGAAAAGATATTCCCAAAGACTGTGTTTTTATTGCCCTGTAGAACAACAACAGGTTTTCTATTTAATTTAGCTATCTAATTTCAGCATTCATTCTTTCTTTCACTTCAGGATCTTGAGTTCTCCATGGAATCAGCTTTACTGTCCTGCTGCTGTCCTCTCTAATGAGTTAAGTAAATCACTGACATGTCCTCGCTATATATATTTGTATGTTTTTAACTTTTTAAAAGTTACACTTTGTCCTGAAGGAGTTAAACGTAGAATTACCATATGATCCAGCAATTCCACTCCTAGGTATAAATCTAAAAGAATCGAAAACAAAGGACTCAGATAGATACATGTACACCAATATTTACAGCAGATTATTCACAATTGCCAAAATGTGGTAACAAGCTAAGTGTGCAACAATAGATAAATGGATAAACAAAATGTGGTGTATACATACAATGGACTATTATTCAGCCATCAAAAAGAGATGAACCTCTGATACATGGTACAATATGAACAAACCCTGAAAACATTATGCTAAGTGAAATAAGCCAGACACAAAAGAACAAATATTACATGATTCCTTATATATGAAGAATCTAGAATAAGCAAATTCATAGAACGTGGAATAGAGGTTACCAGGGATTGTAGGGAAGAGTGGATCAGGGTTATTTTTTAATGGATACAGAGTTTTTGTTTGGGATGATGAAAAAGTTCTGGAAATGGATGGTGGTGATGGTTGCCTGACATTGTGAATATACTTGGTGCCACACAATTGTACACTTAAAAATAGTTAAAATGATAAATTTTATGTTATGTATACTTTCCCACAATAAAAAGTTTATTCTTTGACAGCAACTTGGGAAGAAATATCCTCAACATATGTGACTTCAAATATTCTTGAGATATAGTTGTCATCAGTCAATCAGAAAAAAAAATGGACCAAAAATTAGAAGACAAAGTTTATAAAGAACAAATTCAAATGGCAAATAAGCATAAAATGTTCGACCTCACCTGGAATTTATTTTAAAGTTAATTAAGACAATAATGAAATTTCATTTTTTCATATCACATTGGAAAAATAAAACAAATTACAATATCCCTTACTGGCAAAAATATCAGGGAAATTATTATCTGGTTCTGTCTTCCTAGAGAGTATTTTGGGAAAAGGGTGCATTCTCTATGACAATAGTTCTATTTCAAGGAATAGATCCTTAAAAAAGGATGGGCAGGGTGGGAGGGGATAGCTCTGTGGTAGAGGGCATGCTTGTCATGCATGAGGTCCTGGGTTCAATCCCCAGTACCTCCATTAAAAATAACAGGTAAGTTATTTTCCCCACAAAGAAGAGTGGAAAATAAATAAATAAATAAATAAATAAATAAATAAATAAATAAATAAGCAAGCAAGCAAGCATGCTTCCCTTTTGTATAAAAGAGAGGGAGTATAGACGATCACTTAAGGCCCTGCAACCCTACAGCCTGGGTCTGGATATCAGTTCCAAGGGGCTTGATAGTCTACAAGCCTCAGTTTCCTCACCTGAAAAATGGGGGAAATGATAGGATCGGCCTCATAGAATTGATGTGACATATAAATAAGACAGTTATTATAAAATGTACATTGCCTGACACACAGCAATTGCTCAAGAAATATTAGAGATGGCTGTTACTGCTCTAATAGGATATTGTGTGATTTTCCCCTGTTGTCCCAGAATTGGTGGTTAGGGCCCACAGGTGAGAACAGAAAAGTGCTAACTAACCCACACTCTTATGAAAATTGCCAGTAATTGGAGCCAGCCAACTTCCCCAAGAGAGTAGGCAGAAACAGCCTAGAAACTTCCAGCCTCCTCCTTGCTCCAACCGCCCCACCCCTCTTGTCTCTGTAGGAGAAGTGGGGAGGAGTGAGAGAGCCATGGTGACTTGTGGGGAGTGAATTTCTTCATACTGAGAAGAGATTTCGTCCTCCCAGTAGGAGAAGGGCAGATGATGCTGTCTCTCCAGGGATGACAAGTGAGAAGGGAGGCCCTTGTCTAGACTGGAGTGAGGTCTATGCTTTAGTTGGCGATTTGCTGAAGCAGCATGCTTGCCAATTTCCCCATTTGAACAAGGAAGAGACAAATATGAACAAGAGAAGAGAAGCCTGGAGGGAGCTAGCTATATGAAGGGACCAAGAACAGAAGGTGATATGGTGTGACAAGGAAATACATATTTCCCCTAGATCCATTGTACATTGGAATAGGTGGCTAAACTTGGACTGTTTCATCTGACCCTACCCAAGAAGGCTGCTGGCTGGAAGAGACCCTTGCAACAAGAGGCAGTGGTTGAGAAGAAATGGTCAAGCTGGAGCTGGGATCCCCCTCATCAGGGAACTGTGGAGTGGGAGGCCCAGAGGGGCCCTCCAAGGACATCAGTACTGGATACATGCCACACAGTGGGTATTAGCACAGAGGCCCATCACCATAGACTAGAGAAGCAGAGAGCATTACAGACACACTCAGGCAAGTGGGAAACCTTTTGATTTGAGGTTTGTATTATTTCCAGCTAAAAGTATCTTAATATACTTCTTTCTCTGTAGACCCAATTTCTCTGTCTTCATGTACCAGCTGCCCCTCAGCTCTAAATAAACATGCCTCAAGCCCAGCCACACGCAGTGATGAAAACTGAAGATCTTCACTTCTAATGCAAAATCCCCGGGTAACTGGTCCAGCTTGGATCAGTCAAGCTGGTTCAGTCAAGATACCTGGGAAAACAGAGTCACTAGTACCAGTCTCAGAGGACTGTCATGATGAGCTAGAAAGGCACCTCAAAAGATGTCTCACACTGTTGATGTAGTGAAAGACAACGTTGTGCCCAGAATACTAGAGAACTGAGGAATCCAGATAGGCTTCATTGGGCTTTGAAACAAATATTATAGGGAGTTCATTTACTATACCTCACTTTCTGGAGAGTTTCACAGGGTAATGTGTAGGGACTATGAGGGTTTGAAAGGGTCAGAGGGATCTAGATCTGAGAGGAAATGAGAGGGTCACTGATTGCTTGAGAGAGAGGGTGGTTATGTCATCGACAATGTGACCACCCGGTACTGCAGCTCATAAGTCTTCACTAAGATCATGAGATTCTTGGTGTGATGAGATTTCTGGTTGGCACCTGAAAAGAGAATGCAGCTTCATACCCAGGTATGACCTGGGGCAGGAACAGAGAAACCTAAGAGGAATTAAACCACTAAAAGGGTAGAGTAGTCTCTGAATTACCACAGACCCTGGATATTGGAACCAAGTTTACTCAATTCTGTCAGTGCACTGAAGCCTCTAGGTGATATCTGGGTTATAATTTTAATGGCAACAAAAAAAGAAGGAAACCACAAAGATTTCACCAACAGCAGACTGATTAAATAACCTGTGATGAAAGTAAATCCAGTGAAGTTAGAATCATTATCCTTCACAGCATGGAGCTTCTGTGCTGTTTCCCTACCTTCAGGTGGCCTGTTGAGAAGGAATAATGAGGAGTTTCAAAACTCTTAGGTGTTCCTTAGACTCTAAGGCTTCCAGTCTATATTTGCTTCTTTGGGCACCAACTGATTCAAGGAGTCAAATTTCCCTGGAAACCTTATTACGACAGACTATTTCCTCACCATACTGATTCATATACTTTGAGTCCTTAAAGCTCTTAGGTGGTGGGAGTGGGGACTTCTGTGACCTCTAGCCCACATTAAGCCCTGACTAATAAATCTACCACTTTTAAAACCCACCTTCCAAGTGCAGTAAGTATCCATGTAAAAATGCTTGGGATTAAAATTCACTTTGAGGATTTACCAATGATAGAAAAAAAAGCCCTTCACACTGATGTTAACCAGACTTACTGGGGTGATCATTTTGCAATATCAAATCATTATGTTGTACACCTGAAAGTCATATACTGTTATATATCACTTATACTTAAAAAAAAAAAAGCCCTTCATAACATCTTTTTTTGGGAGGGTAATTGAGCTTACTTATTGAGGAGGTACTTGAGATTGAACCCAGGACCTCATGCATGCTAAGCATGCACTCTGCCACTTGAGCTATACCCTTCCCCCTTCATGATATCTATTTTTAAATGGCTTCATGACCTTCCACTGAAGACAATGGAAAAGAAACAGAATAGTATTTTTACATGCAGAGACAGGACTTGAATGTTTTGTCATAAAAATAATCTTGGTTCAACATTTAATGAATGGAAAGGTATAGTACCTAAAGTGGGCAAGGTTTATAGATCTGGTAATCCTTGGAAATATGAAGCAAATCTTAACAACGTGCAGAGTTAATTCAAATTTTATCAAATTCTTAAAAGATTGATAAAAATCAGATGGTGCAAAAAGAAAATCTTTATAGCCTATTTACTGATAGCAAGGGCAAGAAGAAGATCTGTTGACAATTCCAGAGCCTGTCTTGAACCTGAACTGGTACTATGCAAAGTGCTTCTCACAAAAAGATAAGCTTCCCAACCCTGAAGTGGACTTGGGCTGTATTTGCTTTTTGTGGAGAGAGGCTATCTTGCCATTCTTATTCATAAAACAAAGTAATTACTACTTTCTTTTCGCTCTACATACCATGTAAACTGAGCCTTGGTTTTAGCATTTTTCTGATTAGGATTCTAATAAGAAATGAGTTAGAGTTGTTTATTTTGAAGTAGTTTGGCAAGTTTGGATTTTTTCACTAGTAGCACTGGTAACTGGGAAAAAAATAAAGCTTTTTTTCAGTTGTTTTATCTATCACAGAAAGGAGTGCTTGATACTATAAAATATTACTAGCTTCATATTTTTTAAACCTTAAGATGTACATTCATAGAAAATACTAAATTTTTACAAATTTTTTAAACTTTTTTTATGGAGTTATAGTCATTTTACAATGTTGTGTCAAATTCCAGTGTAGAGCACAATTTTTCAGTTATACATGAGCATACAAATGTTTAATCTATATACACCTAAGGACCTAAAAATAAGTTTGTATTTTCCACGTTTTTCACATTCACCCAAAAGTAAAACTTTCCTTTAAAAAGTTGAAAAGAAATAAATTTGTCTAGACTGAACAGAGAAAATGAATCTATGTGAAAGTCAAATTTTCAAAAAAGAAATATATTCTACAAAGTGATACCTTTTTTAGGTGCTAATGATAGCTACATAGGAACTGTCAGAATTCTACATTAGGAGAGCATCCTCCCACTAAGAGCCAAGAAATGGGGGTAGGATTTATGTGGATACCATGAAATATGAAAAACTGGCACCTTCATTCCAGTCCGGATGGACTGATGTGATGATAGAACTCTTACTCCTCATGCCTCATGTTGTGCAACATTACCTTTTGATTTGTCAAATCATGGAAGGAATATTCTCTGTCTTGACTGAGGTGGTGGTACATCTTTTGTGATTTCGTGGGTGTATACATTTGTTAAAATCCATGAAATCGTACAGTTTAAATCTGTGTATTTTATTGTATGTAAATTATACCTCATCTTTTAAAAATACTGCCTATACAGACCTAGCACAGTGTCTGACCCTCAATTAATGTAGTTGTTAAAAAAAAAAATCACTGAAAAGCAAGGATCTATTAATGCTGCTTAGGTCAATTTAAAATTCCCCAGACACATATTGTCTGTGATATTTTAAAATATGTTATAGTTAGTTGAGGTTCAGTTATGGGTATAGGAAATATCTACATTTCTTAAAAGAAAACCTCAAACATCTCTTTCTGTAGATAGTGGAAAGTATTATGCATTATTTTCTCTTAATCTCTATTTTTAAGTGTTTTCATAATGAAAATGAATTGTGTTTTTAAAAAAAAAGGAGGAGGGGTGTGGTTTCAAGACTTTAGCTCAAGCTGGTATAAAGTCATTTTCACCTCAGGACCCACATCACAGGAAAGGTGCAGTAGAGGGGGTGGGCATCCAGAGAAGTTTGATGAATGAGGTTATTTCTGGAAGAAATATTAGATCATTATTCCAAATCTCACATGCACTGTAATAAATTAATCATCATATATCTGACTTGGCAATTAAAATGTGTGGGTTTAGATCACAGAAGTTTATCATGCTCACCAGAAAAGGGAGAGAGAAAGAAAGCTGAGATGGGGTTTTCAATTCAGCTAGTTTCTTTTGTGCTTGCTATATTTCATTTCTAAATGTTTGGTCACTTGTGAGCCTTTGCAAAACACTGTGTTAGCTCTCCCACTGTGACCTAGATATGATAAACTTGCATGCAAAGATCTTGTCCAAAGATCCTGCTACAGGATGTAATGCACATCTTTTGTTTTTTTGTCTGCTCAGCATTTATTCCTT